TCACCACAGACCCTATTTCAGACATTTAACCGCAGACCCATTGACTTCTGGATGATTGAATCTGAAGTTATAAAATGCTGACTCGTTCTAGTTTTTGGCCTACAGAAATGATCATCCCTGCAGCACTCTGTGCAATGATCTGACAACCTCCCAGAAAGAACTAGCAATCATATTTGTTTTTAGAAAATGTAATACTATTTCTTGTTTATAGGGGGTTTGTTGTATCGATGAATTTGATAAGATGGACCTTAAGGACCAGGTGGCCATCCATGAAGCCATGGAGCAGCAGACCATCTCCATCACAAAGGCGGGCGTTAAGGTGTGTGTCCCTCTGTCGGGAATGTCTTTTGTTTAAAAGCATTGTCTGTTTAATCCGTACTCCACCATACCTAACCATTTCTGTGTGTTCAAGGCCACTCTGAATGCTCGAACCTCCATCCTGGCTGCTGCCAACCCCATAGACGGCAGATATAACCGCGCCAAGTCTCTGAAACAGAATGTCAACATGTCTGCACCCATCATGTCCAGATTTGATCTTTTCTTCATACTGGTGGATGAATGCAATGAGGTCAGACCATATATCATTACTTCTATTAGATGTACACTACGTGTAAAGTACTTAGAAAAAAAATACAGCATTTGTCTTTGTTTTTCCCTTTTTTTTTCTACCAGGTTACAGACTACGCCATCGCCCGTCGGATTGTAGATCTTCATGCCAGGAACATTGAGTCAGTAGAAAGAGTTTACAGTACTGATGAAATCCAGAGATACATACTGTTCGCCCGCCAGTTTCAACCAAAGGAAAGACACTATTCGTTATTCAAGTTGCCGTTCACTGAAATCTAGTCCTTTGTTGTAGATCTCAAATTATTTTTGGAGCTAGACAATCGGAAGAAAGTCGTACAGGTTTGGAATTACAAGTAAGATGATAGACCTCATAACCCTGCATCTGTAGATAACATCAGAGGCTCAGGAATTCGTGGTGGACCAGTACAAGCGTCTGCGGCAGCGGGATGGTGGAGGAACCACCAAATCAGCCTGGCGGATCACTGTGAGGCAGTTGGAGAGCATGCTGCGTCTGTCTGAAGCCATGACCAGACTCTACTGCTCAGACGAGGTCTGTCAGGTTTTAGACCGTATCATAGTACCGAGACTGCTCCCATTAGAGTTACAAATGACTAACTTATGTCATCATAGTTGCCTCTCTCTATTAGTGTTACTGGACCTGAGCACTGCATTTGACACTATCAACCACAACATTCTTTTGAATGGGCTAGAAATTTACGTTGACATTAGTTAAATCGCATTGGCATGGTTCAAATCGTACTTATCTGACTGTCATCAGTTAGTAGCTATTAGCGAAGAGGTATCATTACAATCACAAGTTCAGTATGGAGTACCGCAAGGCTTAGTACTAGGACCTTTGCTTTTCACCCTGTATATGATGTTAGTTTTCACTGTTATGCTGATGAAAACCAATCTAATTTCTTCGTGGCCTGACGAAACATACCAATTCACAAAACTTGCATAATGCAAATTCAGTGTAAAATATTGGATGACTTCTAATTTCCTCCTTAATTGTGAAGAAAAGTTCTTATTTATGTGACCAAAAACCTCCACACGTAGTAACCTAGAATATTGTCTAACACTTGATGGCTACTCTGTCAGGTCTTCGTCGTCAGTTAGGAACCTGGTTGTGCTCTTTGATGGCAATCTTTCTTTTTTACTAGCCACATTTCTAGCATTTGTATGAACAGTGGATGATGAGATCACTGTTTTCTCCAAAGCTGCTTTATAGATTAAATTAATTCATTCCATAATTAATGAAATTTACACCGTTATTGAACTGAACTAAATCAACATTAAAGACTTAACAGCAGAATTGAGTTCTGCTTGCATTTATTGAATTATTCTTTCCTGTTTATCACTGTAAAATAGCTCTGAAACAATCTGTATTTTTATAAGTGCTATATAAATAAATGTGATGTTTGTCAGTGCCCATAAACTACTTCTACATACACCGATGTGCATCAGACACAGCTTATGTAGAGTTTGAAATGTGTCCTCTTCCTTTTCCTTTGGCAAGGTCCAGCCCAAACATGTGAAAGAAGCGTTTAGACTCCTGAACAAGTCCATCATTCGTGTTGACTCGCCCGACATCAGTTTTGACCAGGAGCAGGATGACGATGTGAATGGTGAGATGGCTATCTTTTATACTGTTCAATTCCTTTTGTGAAATGGGCTTATCAAATATCTCAATATAATGAATCTGTACTCTAACAGTAAAAAATAAGCTGTTTGTTTGCAAATGCTACTTGCTGTTAAAAGTGTCTGAAGTGTCCAAATACTTTTTGTAACTTATTTTTTTTACAAATGTATCACTTCCATTTACCATTTACCAATTATTACCAGTCATTTCATTATTTCCAGCAATGAATCAAACATCAGAGGTCATGCGGTGTAGAAGGAACTTCTAAAATGAAGTGACTGATTTCAGTTGTACTTCCACAGATCAGAATGACCTGTTTGGTAAAGAGACAGAAGGTCGAAATGGAGGTGAAGTGAACGGTCATCCGGTGGAGGCCATGGACACTGAGCCGGAAAAGCAGGAGAAGCCGGCGGTAACCAAACCTGCTATCAGAATGTCATTTGCAGAGTACAAGAGAGTCTCCAACCTGCTGGTGCTGCACATGCAAATGATGGAACAATGCAAGTCCTGATTTTTCCATTTTCAATAATATCTCAGACAGGGTTTATTTCATTGGTGTGGTTTTTTTTTTTCTTCTTTCATTCGTGTTTTGTTCATCTCTGAAACTTTTGCATTTTTATTTTCCCATTGAGGTTTTATGTGCAACAGTCAGTGATCATTAAACTGTTTATTTCTTTGATGTCATTACTTTTTATATATATATTATTATACATTTAACAGGTTAGCGGTGTCATTCTTTGCCATGTAAACCATGCATTACATTTGCAATTCTTAAAAAGTGACCGAACAACCGACTTTCTCATTTAGAACTCATTTTGGATTAATTTTGATCTCAAAGCTTTCCAGGAAACCAGATTGTGAAGATGTATTGAAAGTTATAAAGAGCATAAACTGAAGGATGAAATAAGCACGTCTAATCTGTTATAATCTGAATGTGTCATTGATATCAAGGAGGTTTGTGTTTTTAGTGGATGAGGAGTCCTCTCTGAAGAAAAGTGAACTCATTAACTGGTACCTGAAGGAAATGGAGAGTGAAATTGATTCAGAAGCTGAACTTGTCGCTAAGAAGAACCTCATTGAAAGAGTGCTGTACAGACTCATCCATTATGTTAGTATGCATTATCACTCTTTATGACTGTTTTATTTGTCTTCATTGCATTTAGTTGAACTGAAGCAGTGTAAAGTGCCTCTCTTTCTTTTTAAGGATCATATCATCATAGAGCTGACTAAAACAGGGCTGAAAAAGATCAGTAAGGATGGAGAAGAGCCCGTCATGGAGGAGGATCCGTTTTTGGTGGTGAATCCCAACTATATACTGGAAGACTAGTCAAGCTGGCTTTACCAACCTTGATCATTTTTAGTGCTTCTATAGTCTTAAATAATGACTAATGTAATATGCAATGTTTGATTAAGTGAATTAGAAAAATAAATATATATATATATTTGCATTATGTGCCATTTTTGTTTATTGAACACTAGGTGGCGGGATATCTTTTTTGACAAGTGCAACACAAAATGCAAAAGTAATTCAACAATAGTCAGGGGTATCAAGCCATCAAACTAATGGAAAATGACACAAAGCGTTAAAGTTAGCCTTTTTTTTTTTTGCACATCAAAAGACAAATGTACACTATTTTGGGAGGGAAGAGAAAATTGATCGTTGAATGTTTCACTCTTCCCTAAATGTGACAAGTGCTGAAGCATATTCCTTATAGTGAAACATGCAGTGTTTAATTTGAGTTGAAATCTCATTTATAATTTCTGAGGTTTTATCTCATTTAAAGGAATAATGCACCATATTATTTGTGATCTGTAAAGCCTTTGGAAAGGTTGTTAGTCCTGCAAAAACAAAGCTTAAGGTTTTTTTTAATTTTTTTTGTATTACTTTTTACTTCTTTATATTTATATAGAAACCATTTAACATCATGGAGACAGGGAATATTTTATTCGGTTCACTGACACATTTTATTGGTTCTTTTTATTAAAATCATTCAAATAATAGTAAATCTAAATTCAAGCTTGAGTTTATGAAAATGTACATTCTGTGAATGCACAATCTGAATTGAAACTCAATTGAGTCCAAATGTTAAGGTTTCATGTTTCCATGCTTTCATTTTAAAATTATATTACAAACTTGCAGACACTAGGGTCGTAAAGAATTTTTAGTTGTATACATTTTTTATAAAAAAATATATATATTCATGTGTTATGTTCTTATATTAAAACATTCTCTGTACATTTGAACCCTCTCACACTTTTCGACACTTTTAATATCATATTATATATTTAATAAGATTGAATGCGTTTCTCTGTCCACAGTGATTTCTTTGCTGTGCAGATTCGCTGGTTCAGTTTAGCAGAAAGAGTTTAGTTTGTTCGCGTGCGTAAATGCTCGCGTGAGGATGCGCGCGCGGAGATCTTCCACCTGAATGACGCGCCGCACGAGAGCGGATATAAAACATCAGCGCTCGCGTGATGTCGCCGTCATGTCAAGAGTTTATTCCATCTATTGACATTCAGGATGATTTGTCTTCGTTTCAAGTAATCTACATCATTTCAATCTTCGGTATGTGGATTTTGGTGAGTTTTCACTTCGCTATTTTGGCATATGACTTGTCAATCCATATTTTCTGTGATGTCAGTTGATGTAAAATGTTCATATCCGCTTTTATTGTGTCTAAATTTGTTTTTACACTCCCACCCCTCCTTATTCTGTTCCTTTCTGCTTTTTCCACATGTTTAAAGCTGTTTGGCAGAAACTAAAAAGGCTCGTTTAAGTGTTGACATCTTTGGATAAGTGAACAATGATTCCGCCCGGAGACTGTCTGTATGCTGGAAGGAAAAGGAGAAAACCTGTTCAGAAACAGTTGAGTATTTTTTTTATCAGTTTACTGGAATTGTTTTACTGACAAACCATCAATAAAAATAATAAAAACAACGAGAGTAAAATGCGTCACTAATGATAATAAATATTTAAATTAATAATATTAGTAGTTGTAGCCTAATTGTTTTATTTAATGTCGTTTCTTGTTCATTTCTTGGCTCTTTAATTATTAATTTTTTTAATTGACAACCCGTCAATACAAATCAAAACAAGAAAAAGCTGTCACTGATTATGTGTATATTGTTATTGTTAGTAGTGGTTATAATAATATAATTATTTCATGGTAACACTTTACAATAAGGTTTTATTAGTTAACATCACTTAACTTTTACAGTTAACATGAACAATACTTCTACAGCATTTATTAATCTTAATGTTAATTTCAACATTTACAACATTATGGAAATCAAATGTTGTATTTGTTAACTAGTTAATGCACTGTGATCAAACAATGAACTGCTGTATTTTTTTAAACTGACATAAACAAAGATTATTAAATACTGTAACAAATGTATTAGTCATTGTTAGTAAAAACAATTGAGACCTTATTGTAGAGGGTTACACATGTTGATTTCAAGGCTCTTTATTTACACAGTATCAAAACAAATAACCAAAACAATGATAGAAAGTCGATATTAATAATAAATATGCTATTATTGTTGTTAATAAGCATTATTGTTAATTTGTTTAATGTTGTGTCATGTGCACATAAATGCATACATCAGTGTATCATGCTTGTGTTGGTGAAATTTTTCTGTAACTTTTAATCCTGTGGATGCCACACAGGTTTGAAATGTGACATTATTAAATGATAGTTTGTGTCATCAGGAAACCAGAGAAAGCAGGTCAAAAATCGAATCCGTCCAAGCGTCACCGCGACCGTCTGAACGCAGAGCTGGACCGGCTGGCGAGTCTGCTGCCCTTCAGTGCAGAGGTCATCTCTAAACTGGACAAACTCTCAGTGCTGAGACTCAGCGTCAGCTTCCTGCGAGTGAAGAGCTTCTTTCAAGGTAAGAAGGAAAGTGTCTCTGAGAGTTTCCCTCCTAAAAACTGTGAATTTCTACATCATACTTTCATCATACATTGGCCCCCAGAAATGATTAGAATGCTTAAAAATAAATGAAACTTAGTTGGTGTTGGTTAACTGACCTGATTTGACCCAAACATCTTTGCGTTTCACTTAAGCATATGCTGAAATTGGATTTGTCTTTTGTTTCCTTTCATATTTTTACATAATTCCAGATTGTTGTATGGTCACTGTTTTTGTGTTTTATTTTTTTTGGATAATAGTAGTACGTTCTTCCCATATGTTTTTATTTTTAGCTCATATTCTTAGTTTGCATGTTTAATTATTTACAAAACAAAAGTACAACTTTAGGAATTAGTTCACCTTAAATACAGATTCTTATTGTAGTTTGTGGCGATACTGAGCAAATATGCTGGTGAGTAGAAATGCAATTCTTCTGCTGTTAAAAATAGTGCTTGTTATGGGATTTATTTCAGGAGGTATAAGGACAGGTCCATGTGTAGCTGTATGTATGAGCGCTCAGTGTAATGTAGAGATTGCCCTCTTGCACTCACGCTGTTTGTTGTGACCTTGTTTTATTGCCCGAGTGTCCAAACGGATCAGTGTTGAGCTGCTGTGTGGAGAGCTGGCAGTATTTGGGCTTTGTGCTGGCAGGTGGGCATCTCTCAAATGTATTTGAGCTTATAAAGTAATGGAGAGGAATAAAACAAGTGATCTTTATCAACTAAAAAGGAAGGAAAGATGTGGGCCCACCGGCCCAGCATCAGTGTTTGGGAAGCTTTTTTGAAAAGCAAGTCAAGCTATTTATATAGTTTTATACAATGTTGTTTCAAAGTAGCGTCACATTGATAAACAGGAAAATAAGTGTTGGTGTTGTAAAATTAATCCGTTATGAAGAATTCGACAATAGTGTCATTATTCCGGTTCAAGTCAGTTCAGTGTTGATTCATTTCAGTTCAGTGTTCATTTTGCAAGGTTGGTGGCATTATCCAACTCAGTTCAATTAAAATGAGTTGTAATCCGATTAGAACAGAGTCAGTGCCGTTAAATCGATAACATTACTGAATATTAGCCTAATTGTCTTGTAAACTAACTAGTCTTTTTTATATTGGGTCTACTGTAAGATCTGGAAATGTTACATCACTTGTTTGTTCCCAATAAGTGGAATCTGCATATTTCTAGGTGCTTTTGCACTTTTGTGATTTTTGGATAGATTTCACAGAACCTACTTTAGATAGTGAAAGTCATAACTGTCATTTATAATGCATGATCCGACCCTGAAAAACATGAACCATCACGGATCTCGGTTTGTGCCAACCTTGATCTTTCAGTTCAAATAAGATTGATGTGTGTATTATGTTCAAACATTGGCATTTTAACATATTTATCTTCTCAAGGCCATTTGCATTTTTTGGTCTGCTCCCATTTTCCGTCACCTTCATTTAAGCCATAAATTATAGCCAAGGCCGTGTAGAAATATGTCAGGAATTCTAGTAAGGTTGGAAATTAAAATGTGAACCGGAATGTCATCAAAAAGGGTTTCATGGAAAAGTTTTCATTGTTACATGGAAAAAACTGTCAAGTTGAAGAATTTGCTTTAAATAAATCCTTTCTACCTTTAGGTTTGCAATGTACATTTATTATTTTGCTAATGAGTAAAATAATTTTATGATATGAATCCACTAACAAACCTCATATTTATCCGACACTTTCCTGTTCTTTATTGAGTTGGGTGGTGTCTTTAGGAAAGAAAAATCTCTCTTTTTTTCGCCATGTCTCAGTTGTATCTCCAAGACTGCAATGAGATTCAAGTCAGAGATTTCAACATGAGCTCAAATATTTCTCATCAAATTCTTTCAAAACCAAAGATTCAGAGATGCTACTTTCATAGCTCTACAATATATTCTTATTCTGTAAAAAAAAAATATCATTTTCATGTTAATTATACCGGTATGTCACTTTCTTTAGGAGATATAAAAAAAATAACACTAATAATTTTTCCCATCCATACTGTATAATAAGTAAATTCTTGAAAATTCCTCAGCATTATTCTTCAAAATATCTACTTTTCCATGGAAGAATGAAAAGAAATGCACATTTGGAAATGGTCAATTCTGGGTGAATTATTCCTTTAATGTTGTACGTGAATTGAAGTTTCTCCTAAGTTCTCTCCTCTCAGCCTGTGCCTGTCTTGAGTAACTGTGCAGATTGGTTGTGCATGGCCGAGGCTGTGTCTGGTTCAGACACATTGTGTTTTCTTTCTCCGCCACAAGTCTTAAAACACAGCAGGAAAACCTTTGTTGGCCCAAAACCATTTTTAGAGGCTTGTTCCATAATCAAATCATGACTGTCACACTGCCAGGTGAATTCAAGCACATTTCCAGGCCTCTCAGGATATGGAGGGTATTAACAGATCCCACAAACTTTCAGGATGAATCAATGAATGTATTGAAAATACCCATTAAGTGCTTGCTAATATGACCATTATTGCTCAAACGTAGGATTTGAACAAATGTATTAAACTTCAGTGTATAACGTGTCTTGCATCATTTTAATTAAAACATGAGCATAGGATCTTGTTTCTGTTTTATATCCTTTCTTAATTTTGTCAAAGTGAAGTCACTAAGAGTGACACCTGAAGGGAAATGTTTAATGATGGCAAAGATGTTATCTGTCACGTGTGCTCAAAACCGGCGCCCAGAGGGTCCTAATAGGGTTGAGAGCTGCATACACTAATGCCTAATCATAATGAGAATAATGATGATCATCGTATTACGAGCTTCATAGTTACAAAAATGTGCATGATTTTTTTATAATGTAAATTTATAAGATGCAGCTAATTCATAAACCTCTTAACATTACTTTATTAATTTTATTTCAGCCATAGATGTACTTTGTGTATGGAGCTTTTTTTTTTTTTTAAATAAACTTTATACTTTCTAATATATAAAGGAATAGTTCACACAATTTAAACTTATGTTATTGCAAACCTAATGATGAATTTTTTGAAGGGGGGTTATATAAAAAATAAGGTTTATACAAATAAATTAATAGATGTTTGTGGTAGTTTTTTTTGTGCATATTTTTTTTTTACATACTGAATTGTTATTGGTCTTTTTTTTCTCATAAATTCATATGACCATAAATAGCTGTTTTACACTGCTTGGACGACGACAGGTTGTATTGTGTGTCCCCCAATTTAACACAATTTAAGCTCTATATATTGTTTCAAGAAATGTTAATCTACTTTGAATGTTAGTTGCAGTGCGGGAATAACAACTTAAACTGCACATGAGGGAGTAATTGAGATTCACAGAGAGAGAAAGAGAGTGTGTGGGATGTTGAAGTGAAGGGGGTTATGGGTAATGAATGCTCCACTGGCTCCTAGGGAGTGTTTGCGTGACTGCAGCCTGGCAAAGTCCCCGTCCTGAGAAAAGCAAGATGTCCTAAGAGAGGGAAGATGCAGATCAGCTTTGATCCTTCTGTTCATTCACAATCCACTTTTAGTGGCTGTTTGATAACCATGGGATTGAATGCTTTTTCCATTTTCAGTTTTTCCTGTTATTGACAAAGCTGTAGATGATAGAACATGGCTTTGTCTATGAATAAACACGGTTTATTCTTGCATCTTTTTTTAATCTTCTTTGCTTTTTTTTTTTTTTTTTTACTTGATTGAATAAATATTGTGTAAATAAGTTGTACTTCTCATTTGTAAATGTCTCATCACCTCAGTTGTTTCACATGATTTAATGTAGTAATCATAATCTAAATTGCATCATTATATAATGATGTAAGCATAATGTGACTGCATTTTTTGGATGGTTTATAAAACAAGTTTTGTGTGTTCAAGTGTTCAATCCCAAAATACATTTTTTTGCTTGCATGTTGCTCTTCCATAGCTTATGAGAGCTTTCAATAGTTTCATTTAAATATCAACTTTTTCTCAGACATTTTTTTTTCTGTGTGCTTCGGCTCAAAAAATAGACATGCATGATAAATATGGAGCTATAAAACTGATATGTACACTCGGTCAAAAGTTTGGTTGGTACAATCATGATCCTTCAAAAATCATTCTAATATGATGATTTTCTGCTCAAGAAACATTTATGATTATTAATGTTGAAAACAGTTGTGCTGCTCAATATTTTATTAATATTAAACTTTGGTTTATTTATTTCAGACAGACAACTTAGTTTCAACACAGTTGAGCTGACAAACAACAGCATACAGCAGTCTGAAACAGCCTGTTTGGATATAAACCATCCCAAAAAATGCAGTCACTGCTTACATCATTATATAATGGTGCAATTTAGATTATGATTACTACATTAAATCATGTGAAACAACTGTTGTTTCAAACAGGTGTAGGCTGAAGCTCTTGCTTATAATGCATACCCTCTTATTAAAGGTAATATTTATATTTGAAATAGACATTTTTAAAGCTTCAAAATATTTTTTGTCGCTTTTGATCAATTTAATGCATCCTTGCTGAATGAGGATTTCTTTCAAAAGATTCTTTCTTTTGAATGGTAGTGTTTAGATCAAATCCTTATTCTGTCTTGGAAGAATTTAATGGGAAATGTTTGAGTTTTTGAGATCTTACTTTTAGATTTTAGTATCTTGGCAAATCTGAGCACAGTTTGAGACCTTGTTAGTGATATTCGGAACCTCTAGAGAAGCGAAATCATTTGCAATTTTTCTTTCGTATTTTTTACTTAATATATTATGATGAATTTGTCATGTGTTGAACACCGGAATGACAGCATCAGGTCTGATTGGTCTTCATGAGGGAATGATGTTGCTCTGGTGCCCTTCCATACAGAGCGTCCTGTAATATGTTCACATTTTTCCAGAGAATTCACAGTTGTGCAGGCGTTTGGCAGCACCTAGACCCTACTTGGCAAATTCGTCTTGCGTGCAGATCAGGAAAATTCCATCTCGCATCTCTGTCCTGGAAACATTCCTCTGTTTGTTTTCATCATGTGAGAATGTGTGCTAGAAGCTGATAAATGATCCAAGCGTCCTGCGTCATGCATGTGCGTGAGTCTCCAAACATCTGTTTTAGCATGGGATTGAGGATTTCCCCCTCCCTTGCATGAGAATTCCCTGATCTTATACCACAAATCAATCTTTTATCTTTGTTTAAGTTGTGCTGTATGTGCATATGATCCATTAAGAATTTTGTTTAATTCCCTCATAATTGCTAGTATTATGTTTTCTGCCACCCTGACCATTCAAACAGCTCTTTGTTTGCAGCATAAAAAAGAAGAGTTGAGATATTTGTTGTCAACATCCAAACCTCCCAGTAAGAACATTTAATAGGGTCCCTGTTTGTTGGCAACCGGAAGGCAGTTCCTCTGCACACGATGGCGTGCGAACGACTTGTAAAAATGACCCAGATACGTCATAGAGGAGTTTGCCGTTAAGCTTGTTCTGTTGCGTTACAACTGCAATAACGTGCATAACATGGTGAGTCCTTTTGCAAAATCTTTCTTTTCTTCTTGCACACGTTTAGCCCCCTCTTTCCCTTAAACTGTTTTTCACTCCTGTTATGCAGCTTGGAGACAGACTATCAGAGATGTTTAAAAACATTTACTAAATAAATGACATTTTTAAGTTCCCTGTGCTTTGTTTTATTCATTATATATGGCATTCCTGGAAAAGATTTACAATCGATATGCAATGCTCAATAAAACAGAATTTATAATAACAGTCATGTAAAACCAGACTGTTTTGTGAATAATGCTGCAAACAGAGCCGTGTGCCAGCAGTCTAAAGCATGATCTCATGCGAAGACTGTTTCCAAACACGGGGTCTCTCACGCAACAGCCATTAGTTCACAAAAGGCACAAGTTGACCTCTCTTTGGTAAGGTTAACCCACGTTCAGTTGGAAAGCCATTGTCCTCAGTGCTAGTGATGTGAAATAATCTCCCATTGTGGGATGTGCCTCTGTAGTGGTCTGTTATGTTTGTGTCATGTGACCAATTGACCGGAAAACAATTTAAGTGTATAGAAAGACAGACAGATAGATGCACACACACACAACTGTTCTAATGTTTGTGGTCAGTATTAATTGCTTTACAAAATCAAAAACAGCTTACTTTCATTCAGCAAGGAAGGATGCATTCAATTATTCAAGTGACAGTAAAGACAATCATAATGTTACAGAAGATAGAAAAGTTATTTTTAATTGGAGTAATAATTTACAATGTAACTGTTTTTACTGTATTTTTGTTCAAAGAACTGTTGCTTTTGTGAGCATTGGATGGATGGATGGATGGATAGATACAGTGGGTGGGTAGATGGATAGATACAGATAGATGGATAGATAAATAGATGGATAGATAGATGGATAGATGGATAGATGGATAGATAGATAGATAGATAGATAGATAGATAGATAGATAGATAGATAGATAGATAGATAGATAGATAGATAGATAGATGGATAGATATATAGATAGATAGATGGATAGATACAGTGGGTGGCTAGATGGATAGATAGATAGATGGATAGATACAGTGGGTGGATAGATGGATAGATACGGATAGATAGATGGATAGATAAATAGATGGATAGATAGATGGATAGATGAATGGATAGATAGATGGTTGGATGGATGGATGGATGGATGGATGGATGGATGGATGGATGGATGGATGGATGGATGGATGGATGGATGGATAGATGGATGGATATAGATAGATGGATAGATGGATAGATACAGTGGGTGGATAGATGGATAGATACAGTGGGTGGATAGATGGATAGATACAGTGGGTGGATAGATGGATAGATACAGTGGGTGGATAGATAGATAGATGGATAGATAAATAGATGGATAGATGGATGGATGGATGGATGGATGGATGGATGGATGGATGGATAGATGGATAGATGGATAGATAGATAGATAGATAGATAGATAGATAGATAGATAGATAGTAGATAGTAGATAGTAGATAGATAGATAGAAGATAGATGGATAGGTACAGTGGGTGGATAGATACAGTGGGTAGATAGATGGATAGGTACAGTGGGTGGATAGATGGATAGATGGATGGATAGATACAGTGGGTAGATAGATGGATAGGTACAGTGGATAGATAGATAGATAGATAGATAGATAGATAGATAGATAGATAGATAGATAGATAGATAGATAGATAGATAGATAGATAGATAGAGTGGGTGAATAATTACAGTGGGTGGATAGATAGACAGACTGTCATTCAGTCAGTCTCTTAGTTTGTTCAGTTTTCATTCATGTTTAAATTGAGCGCTGGCCCTTTAAGAGCCTGTATAGCAGGGTTTGCGTGACTGTAGTACACCAGAGCCTGACCTCAGAAGAACTCCAGTGAAAATGATCTAATGATCTGTCCATCAGAGCTCTGGAAACCAGCAATGCACAAATGAATCAAGACCCTATTATCTTTCATTATGTAGACATAAAAGTTAAAACATTCATCAAAATAAATATGACATAATAGTGAATAAATGACGACAGAATTATCTTTTTCTTTCTTCTGTGAACGATCCATTTAAGTGTGCTGTGCTTAAACTTCATGAGAGTTTTTTTTTTTTTTTTTGAGACACAAGTAACAATTTAAAAATAAGAGGGGAAAAAGGTTATAGAGTGAGTCCATTCTTGACTGTGTAATATAGCTAGCACACAAACACACATCTGCTCGTAAATCTAACCTCAATTGTCAAGAGCAGATCTGTTTTTTATTTCCATCCCCTCATCAAAACATCCCAGCAGTGAAATGAGCTGCTTTTAAAAGCCATGTCTGCCATTTTGTGAAAAGTAGCTCATCCACCTGCAGATTTGAGCTTGTTTGGCAGCAGACGTCAAGTGAATGAATGGAGAACGAGTCTTTGGGGAGAGATGCTGGAGATTTCCCTCATGTTTTTGTGGAGTGTTTGAATAATAAAATATTTAGATTTGGTGTAGTCAGACATAAATGGAGTGGACTCTGAACATTACACGTGCCTTCAGTCCTTTCCTTTTTGACTTGCGCTGTTTTTCTTACCACAGACCTGCATGAAATGAGTAGCAAGGAGCATTTCACGACACCAATTTTAGTATCTTCACCCAAAAATGCCATCCTTGGTGTATATGACTTTCTTCTTTTAGCCAAACACAATCTGAGTCATATTAATATCCATGGATATCCATTATATTACTATTCACTCCCATTATAAAGCTTGGAAGAGCCAGGATATATTTTTTAATATAGCCAGTGTTTGGCTGAAAGAAAAGTCATTTACACCTATGGCTTGAGGATGAGTAAATTATGGGATAATTAATAAATTTCGGTGAACTATCCCTTTTAAGTACCCCTTTTATTCTTTTTCATATATCACCTTTCATGTAGTGTATAATAATATAACTGTGTCAATGTAAAAGATCCGCAAAGTTTTAAAGATCATCGTGCATGGTCTTCATTGGCTGCCCGTGAACAACGTCTACTTTGACTCCCCTCAAACACTTTAGTTGTAGCTGAGGCCTGAAAGAGTTTTTCATGTTGTCGACATGTCGAAAAGACATTTTACTGCACTTTCAAAGGATGAGGACAGATGGTCTTATTATTGGGTGATATGAAGGTCAGTGGCTTCACTATTGGAGAAATCATAACGGCTAACTTCAGTCACGTGTGCTTTGATAACCAATCACATTACAGCCTGAAATTATTAATAAATTAATATTATACTTCTAGATATTTGAGTTGTGTAAACATCACAGCTCAGACTGTTTGTGGTTATCTTCTTTGCTTTGATGTTCTTATGTTTGGCATTAAGTGCCCACAAAAATAACTAAAGAAGAAAAAAAATTCTGAATTATTTCAAGATCTTGCTCATTTTTAAATTGGCACAGCTAACAAAGTGCACTTGGGTTGTCACAAGAAAGACTTTCTTTTGCTTTTGAATCAGTCTCAACCAGTTGTGAAATTGGGAAAGCGCATCCAAAATGGATTGCTTAATGAAAAAGAATGATCAGTGGGATTTGTTCTTGTGAAGCAATGATTGTCTTGGTTTTCTATATTTGTGAGACAACATGGGTTTCCTATAAACAATCTTTGTTTAAACAATAAATAAATAAAATCACTGTAAAATGTTTAATTTTTTGATTAGCATGATTTGATATCAGAAGTGTTTATGCAAAAATTCTTTTAATTATATTTCCCTGTGACGTGTCCATGGTTCTCTGTCTCGTGTGCTCTTGTTCCTCACAGAGGTCCAAGAAAAAGAAAATCTCAGCAGTGAAGCCTCGATCCCAGAGCACCGGAAAGAGATTCTGCCCCGTGTTGTAGAGAGTGATCTTCTCCTACAGGTGTGTTGGCCATTTAGTTCTACTCTAAACATCCTTCATTACAGTTCAGAAATTGTTTATTGCCAAAGAAATTGTTTATTGTTGTTTATTGCCTTGTCTTCTGAAGCCTAAAATTTTTACCGGACTTTAAGTCATAGGTTTAATCATGTCACTAACATTGTGCAAAAATATTAACAGGTATTCCATACATTTCCCACAATAATCTGTTTTTGTGTGTGTCTTGTAGTCTCTCTCTGGATTTGCACTGGTCGTGAGCTCAGATGGTGTTATTTTCTATGCATCTACCACTATCGTTGACTACCTGGGATTTCATCAGGTAAACCATCAAATGAAAACCTATACTCTAGAAATAGATGCATAGGAGGAATAATGAAATGGTTATGATCTAAAATAGCATGTAACTTGTTCAGATGCTCACGTTTATTTTAAATATGTATGTATGTGTATGTATATATATATATATATATATATATATAATCCTTTTACTTTTTATTTTATATATATTTGTATTAATATATTTACTGCTCCTATATTTTTAAAATATTTTATTAATTTATTATTTAAGAGGGAGGGTAACTAGAATGTGTATTTAGCTTTCATGCGTGACAATCCAAAAACATATTGAGATCGTTATTGTTACCCTTTTTAACTTTTAAAAACAGTTCTCAAATAAAATTATTTCATCAGAGAAATCTAAACAAAAATCATGTGTGGCTACATAAGAAATAACCACAACATCTGTGCAGAAATATGTCATGTTATAGGTCTTCTCCACCAGAATGTGTAAAAAATAGTTAAGTTTTTTCAGTCCTTGGCTAATTTAAGACTTTCTCACGGCCTTCAAACAGTCAGGCTTCTTCAGCAAACAAATCTTCTCTTCCAAGGAGGAAACTTGATTGGATCCTCATTGAAACTGTCATAGTTTGTCATGAGATGGTTAGTCATCAAAGTGTGCTGAAAGCCTTGCATGTCCCACACTGGAAAGTAAAGGGAAGGTTGAATATTTTAGGCAGAGTTTATGGTGTATGAACAGAGGGTATGGCTGTGTGGGCTGGTATTTTAAAGCTTTTGTTTTGTTGTTCTTCAGTGTAGAGACACGTCTGTCCGCATGCAAGCAGCGCTGGTGTCACGCAAACAAACACATGGGGCTGTGAAAAGGGATTTGTGGCTTCAAGCAAACATTATACATGAGAAAGCAGTTTGAAGGTGCTGAGTGCTAATTTAATTTGCAGAGTATAACAGTCGGAGGCTGACCCCATCATCGTTAACTCTTATTTCATTCTTAACCCTTGTGTTATGTTGCGGGTCAATTTGACCAGTTTCGATTTTCTAGTTGTTGGAAATACTGGTTAACCTTTGTTTTTTTTTCTTGATATTTTGTGACTTTTTCTCATTTATCATGATGAACATGCATGCAAAGTTTCAACATGCTGATGTGTTTCGACATATACAAACAAAATTACTGTTACGTTCGTGATGTTCGCGGGTCAATTTGACCCTCATAGGCAGCCATTCAAAAGCAACTGTACAGACACAAAATAAAAACATTTATTTTCTGTATGTCAGGGCACTTCAACTCCAGTTCTAACGTGCAAGTGTATCTAAAAGTGCTCTAACCCTAACCAAACACAATTGAAAAAGCTAAAATCACAGTGTTTAGAATTATTTGCAAATTACAGATGAAAATCTTTGTCAGACACAGATAGTAAAATAAGCTCTCATTTCAATATTCAAGATATCTAAAATACCTAGCTTTTAACCAAAACTTTTATGTAGGATTTTCAAAGGCAGCTTCACAGAGCCAAAAAATTTATAAAAAACATTTATTTGATGTATGTTTTTGTTATGTTTGGTTTCTCACTTCCCTGTGAATGAATAATGAAACTAGGGAACTAGGGCTTAGGAAACTAGGGAAAGTTAACTTAGGAAAAAAAAAAAAAAATCATTATACAGCAAAATTGTATTGTTCAGTTACGATGTTCAAAGCATAAAATGTAAAAAAAAAAAAAAAATGTATATGCAAAAAAAGTCAGTATACTCTTTTATTTTCCAATTTTGTAAAAAAATGGTTTAAAAACATTTTTATAAATCATATTTTCAGATATAATGTTTTTGTAATGTTTGACAAATGTTGATATTAAAAGTTACAGTTTGTATCTAAATCTTTGTTGTTTTTCATAGTGTGATTTTTGAGGAATTGTATTGAATCCAATTAGGGTCAATTTGACCCGCTCTATAAAGGGTGTACACAGAATTCGAACAGTGCACAATAAACACATTCTATCCACCACCATCCGCACGTTACAATGACGAAACCATGAGCAAATGAGTCATAAATTTAAAGTTATAAATTTTGGTGGCATTTTTGACCCGAGCCCCCGTTTTTGAGCGTGGACGGAGACCCCTTCTGTTCAAGTGAAAGGTATAAGGCCGCTACATGACCTAGGTTGAACTCAAACACAGGTTCCTATGAGCACAACAGCTCTTAATATGTCAGCTCTTAGTGATGCACTACTCTCTGTGCCACATCTCTGGCATCTGACTGCTTATTAATAGAAACTGAAGCAAATGCACAAGAATAATTGCATGAATTATGAATACATTCGACTATCTGCCAGGAACCTCATGATCTAAAATGCTTATGAATGTTTTACCAGCAGTTGAAGTGACTCCACAAGGAGGACATTTTGATGAGTATTGTTTCTAATGTGGTTTAACATAAAACTGAATTAGGCCATATAAATTTGTGGTGTTGACTGAGAGACATTTGGTCATTGCATTGTGTGTGGCTCATACAGCTGTGCGCAGGTCAAGTGTACAGGTCAATGCAGCAGCCGATAACACAAAACACACTGATGTAGGAATAAAGAAATAAATAAACATTCTCTGTTTTTGTTGGTGTGTGTGATCTTGTCTGGCAGACAGACGTGATGCATCAGAAGGTCTTGGATTATGTCCATGTGGCGGAGCGACAGGAGTTTCAGAGGCAGCTCCACTGGGCGATGAACCCTGGCCAGCAAGACACTGGTGTGTGTATAATTACCATTAACCCTATAATACATGTGCAATATTCCAAGTCTTCTAAAGTCATATCCAAAGTTGTATGGGCTATTTTTATAACACTTTTATATTGCTTTTGCATCTATTTGAAGCTTATAAGCTCCAACTGTCTCATTATAATTGCATGGAAAAGAGAGACTACAGTATATTTCACTTCATGCATCTGTCATTACACACCCGAGTCATGTGTTTCTGAACTATGCGATGTGTGAATGTGTGTGTTCTAGTAGATGAGGATGTTGTGATGGGTCATCTGTATAGCGCTGAGCAGCCTGACGGTGTTCCTCCTGAACTGTCTCCGTTCCTTACGCGGTGCTTCGTCGCTCGAGTCCGATGCCTGCTGGACAGCACCTCCGGCTTCCTGGTCAGTCATGAAATCACTACATTTTTTTTCTTGTTCAAGAAGCCGTTTCACATTTGGAAATACGTCATAATAGGGAAGAAAAGACTATCGCAACTTCTGTTTCATGCCGAATTAGGGGCCTCAGACCTTCCCAAATGTACATGTTGCCATATCCACTGAGTCTGTCACTCTGATTTGCTCTCGTCTCCTGTAGAGCATGCAGTTTCAGGGCAGCCTGAAGTTCCTGCAGGGTCAGAGGAGGAAGACTGACTCAGGATCTTTGCTGCCGCCCCAGCTTGCTCTGTTTTGTGTGGCTGTTCCTCTGGTACTGCCCTTCATCACGGAGCTAAAGATGAAGAGTATGATGATGAAGGGCAAACACAAAAGCTCTGGCAGCAGGTACACACTCTGTCTGTCTGCTTGTCTATAATGAAGAGAAAAAAACCCAAAAAAAAAAATATTTTTCTTGCTAAATAAGTCAGTTTTGCCCAATAAGTCAATTTAAATTGCATTCAGTTGTTTTTAATTTAAACTATTTTAATGCAGAAAAATTATTTGAATAAAATTTAAAATCATCATAAGCCTGCATTAATAACTCATTTAAATTAAAACAGGATATTAAACTTATTTATTTTATCTACATGAATGTAATTAAATTTTGATTAAAGATTTTGAGAACAATAATTTTTGTAATGAATTGTGCACAGTAAGAAAGTAAATCGGGTCAGGGTAGTTTATAAAAGCAATAAAGGTCACAGATGGTACTTTTGATAAATAGATTTAGGGGGTCAATTTAATGCTTTTATTCAGCAAAGATATGAAAAGTGACAGCAAAGACATTTATAATGTTACAAAATATTTTTATTTCAAATAAATGCTGTTCTATTGAACTTTTTATTCATCAATGAATCCTGAAAAAAAGTATAACGGTTTCCACAAAAATATTAAGTAGCACAACTGTTTTTAACATTGATAATAATAACACATTTTTCTTGAGCAGCAAATCAGCATATTATAATGATTTCTGAAGGATCATGTGACACTGAAGACTGGAGTCATGATGCTGAAAATTCAGCTTTGCATCACAGGAATAAATTACACCAGAATAAAATATATTCATATAGAACCCTTCTTTTAAATTGTAATATTTCACAATATTACTGTTTTTACTGTATTTTTGATTAAATAAATGCAGCCTTAGTGAGCAGTAGAGACTTCTTTCAAAAACACAAAAAAATCTTACCGACTCAACTTTTGGATGGTAGTGTTCAACGGTACTGTATGATTACCATATTGATGTGCTATGGTTTTTACACAGTACTCAATCATAGTAGTATCCAAAAACATGGTAGGCTACTTTGTAAAAGACACAAAGATATGCACAAGAATTTGTAAGTAGAAATTGTCTCTTAATCAGTTTAACTTCTATCATCTTCAGTGATAAAAGGCAACGAGTTTCCTGCGGCTCATTTGACAGTGGAGACGTGCTACGTGTTAACTGGACAAACACATCGGGTCATGATGGTTTAGGGTCAGCCCTGGCCAACGCAAAGTACAGAGGAGAGGGCTGCAAAACCCAAGATGAGCCGCTCAACTTCTGCGTTTCCACTCTGGGCGTCTCTAGGTTGCAGGCTGCCGATGCCTCGTGGGACGCCCGCTGTCCTGTTGCCTTGCACACAGACTCCAGTGAAAACTACCTGATACCTGGAAGCTTCTATAAACACGGCCATTCTGGAAAATTACAAAATGGTTGCAACACAGAATTGCAGAAGGTGGAAGGTTATTGCATCGAGGGGAAGGTGGAGAGAAGGTGCATGATGCAGAATGAATGTTTTAATATGCTTCCTGAAGCGGCAATTAAGACCGAACAAGATTCCGACTCTGAAAACGTGTGTAACGCATACGGGACGCTCTGGCGCCCTGAACATGCACAGGTGAAAACCAAGGCTGAATATCATGACTGCTGTACTCCATATCAAAATGGCAAAGCTGCCATCAATGCACACAAGTATCTGTGTGCGGGAGTCAGCAGACCTCTTAAGTGTGTCCTGAACAAAGACCTGAATCACTCTGACCAGCCGACCGGCAGTCGGGACACGTATGTGTTCGCAAATGCCTCCACAGATCATAAAAGCTACATGCAGCATGATATCCGGCTGACTTACGAGTTCAGGAGTCGCAACCTGCTGCACACGATTAAACGAGAACCCGACGACTCTCCACCTTGGTGTCATGATGTTAGTCAAGGGCATGTGCAACACAATATTACTTCAACTTCCTCTGTGAATGCTATTCTACACAAAGCAAACCCTTATGTTTACATGCAGTGAACTCTATAACTGACAAGTAATGTTGACGTGGTCACAGTGCTTGCAAGGTGTATCGCTATCAGCTTCTTTCTACTTTTCTTATCCACAAATTTGTGCTTTTAATTCAGCCTAAATTTCTTAACGTTCAAAATTTAAGTCTTTGGTATGTCAGAAATGTAAGATTAAAATGTGAAAATCTCCCATTGGCTTACATTGAAAGAATGTTTTGCATTTAAAATCAACCTAAGGATGATTGTCATGTTTGCATGCTGAATCGTGATTTCTTACCAGAAATCAAGATGTCATGACAACAATAAAGCAGCTCTATAGCAGAATTGTATTTATACCTAAACTTATTCTTTTTCTGCCTTGCAACCACTGGTATTTCCCCCCGGACATATACAACTAGTTAGAAAAGTGATTTTTATATAATTTAGCCAGACTGTTAAACCAAATACAATACTCAGGTTGTCTCAGGATAGGTTTTTGAGATGTTTTGTATTTTGTCACTTTTAGGTACAGATTTTGGATTTACATGTGTGTCATATTCATGAGGTAAAAAAGTGTACAGACAAATAAAGATAATTTCCCTAGTGGAAATATCTTTGTATTGCATTTTAGATTTTTTTACGTTTTTTTTTTCGTCTTCTTCAAGTGCATAAACATGCATTTACTTTTACTTCATGGAATTATTAATTCATATTGATCTTTTTTTGTGTAAAAAGTAGTTATTATTAAGGAAACTTGTTTGTTTTTATGCCACATTCAATGAGCTTTGTTTTGTACAGCATGAATTGTCATTGTCATACTGAAGATTAATATGTTAAAAAAAATTGTTACACAATTTATTCTGAATTAACCATAATTTATTCTGAATTAACCATACGGAGTATGTAGATTTTAAGATAAACATGCTTTATATCTAGCCCAGAGGAGATTTCAATTATCTTATATAAACTGTAAGACCATTAGGCCTATTGTTCAAAGCATTGTATTGTGGTGGTGTGTCTCCACAGTTTCAACACTTTGTGTTCACGTATGTAATACTTCTGTTAATCTTTTAATAGCAATGTATCTGTTGTGCTTGTGCAGCAACCACTGAAATATTTTTCTGTTTGTATTTAAAAATAGTTCAGTCAAAATTAATCTCTCTGAATTTCTCTCAGATTTTTTGTTTGGTTTTCCACAGCTCCTAATCTAAACAAAATGTATCAATGGTAAATAGAGAACTTTCAAATATATATTGGACCCATTGAAGATTGCACAACACACAGATGATTGAAGAAGGCACAACACACAAAAGAAAATAATGAATTCGTCTGCTCATCATGTTGACCCCATAGTTGACCATAGACTGTAAAAAAAGGTTGACCCTCGTGATCTGTGAAAGTGTTATTTGCGTAAAGCCTGCGCACAGTTGATGCTCTAGCCTCTATTTGCGTAAAGCCTGCGCACAGTTGATGCCCTAGCCTCTAGCACAGGCGCAGACTCGTCATCTGACTGACTGATGAGAGTTGGGCGACTCCAGGAAGACGCAGATGTTATGACAGTAAATGAACAAAATAAACATACATGAAAATAAAATATCAATGAACAGATTATAACATCCCACAGCACGTACAACGAACACCACGTCCGGGTAAGTACATTCACATGACCTCGAGAATTTCACGATATATACATGAAAAGCGCAGACCTCTGAATGCTAATGTAGTTAGCCAGGTAGCATCTGTCACTGTTGGCCTTTCTGCACAGAAATTCAGCGCGATGTATGCGATTATTACAATAAATTAAACAGGTTACAGTTTTATTGTATCTTTTCCCTAAAACATACCTATTTCGAGCAGGTGTTCACAACTATCTATCTGTTTGTGTTAGCTTGGTCAACTGCCAGCTGCAAACATACAAATACAGATAAGTTACACAAATGCACAATATGAATATATTAAAATATATATCAACGATACAAGAATGCAAAAACACATTAAATATTAAAAGACTTAAGTACACACCACGTGTACAAAGCACAATAAGTAAAGTTAACCTTCACTGGTTTATTTCAGTGAATTAGGATTATTATAGTTTACTTAAACCATTAAAAAAAACATTTGTGTTACTAAAAATAAAATAAAACATTATTAATTGATCGTTTTCATTTAATTCACCTCGATGTACTAAAAAAATTAAAACTGAAATAAATAACAATATAAAACGTAATATATCAAATTAAATTATATATATTATATGATATATACATATAAAAACTATATAAACATCAGACAATTACTAAAACTTCAACTTAATAAAGAAAAAAAAATGAAGGAAATATGAAAATAAAAAGTATAATAGGATCGCAATGATATTGAAATAACACTGCAGTGCATTTAACCCTTGTCATTTAACCCATAACCATTGTTGTACCTTTACTGCTCTTTCAGTAATTTTGAGTACATTTAAACCTTGTTGTTGGGGTTGGGTCATTCAGTACATTTTGTCCTGTGGTTTGGGCCATTTTCAGCACTTAACCCTTGCTGTTTTTTTGTCAACCCTGCCGTTTGGGATCAGTTACTATGGAGGAGACGAACAGAGAGGCCGTGGCCACAGCGGTGCAGAGGGTTGCTGGGATGCTTCAGCGCTCTGACCAGCTGGACAAAGTGGAGCAGTACAGACGGAGAGAGGCACGGAAGAAAGCATCCGTGGAAGCAAGATTAAAGGTGACGCCATTTCCATTTAACCCTATGCTGATCTATTACGATTGCTTTTACCAGTTCATTAAACCAAACCATGCTCTTCATCAGGCGGCCATTCAGTCTCAGTTGGATGGGGTCCGAACAGGCCTCACGCAGCTCCATAATGCTCTGTGTGATGTGAAAGACATCCAGAACTCTCTGGCAGATGTCAGTAAAGACTGGAGGCAGAGCATCAACACCATAGAGAATCTGAAGGATGTGAAAGACGCCGTGGTTCAGCACAGTCAGTTGGCTTCAGCCGTGGAGAACCTCAAGAACATTTTCTCAGGTGAGGACGAATGCTTGCACAATTAATGTACAGGATCAAAATAATACCAGTGGTTGGGTTCCACTAGTTGGCCATTTAGCCAAGATTAAAAATAGGATCTGTTTTTTAGTTAATTGCAGATTGACAGTTTGTTTTTCCCAATTTTGTCATTTATTTATTTACTTAATTAGATAATAATGATAATGTTATTATTTTTCTTAGATGGTCTGTTTTTTAAGTTTATTTAAATTTTTATTTATTTCCACTATTTATTAATTTATTTATTTATGCATTTATTTATTTTTAATATTTATTAGCTGTTTTTTGTTTGATTGCACATTCACATGTTGTTTTTCTGTTTTTAATATATAAATTAACATGTATGTATTTTCATTTATTTTATTTAAAAATGAAATTGATTTATTTTAATATATAAAATAAAAATTATTAGCTGTTTATCAGCTGATTGCGCATTTACAGGTTGTTTTTCAGTTAATGGCAGATTAACAATTAGTTTTTCCCAATTTGTAGTAATTTAGCATATTTCTTTTTCCTTAATATTGTTAATATGTTTCTAAGATGGTGTCTTTTTTTTCTGTAGACAACATGTTAAGTTTATTTTTCTCCAACAATATTTGTATTTATGTAATTATTAACAGTTGTTTTCTGATTTTGGTATATACATTAATATGCATTTATTTTCATTTATTTTATTTAAATGATTATTTATTTTAATATATATGATTACAATTTTTAGCTATTTATTAGGTGATTTACAGGTTTTCCCGAACAATATTTTAGTCAGTTGTACTACTTATGCATTTTATTTATTTATTTAGTTAATTTAAAATATATATATTTATCTATCATCTATTTTTAAGTTGATGGCACATTAACATGTTGTTTTTCTTAATTTTTTTCCCTTTATTTTTATTTCCTTATTTTTTAACAAATAAAATAAAAATATTTTTTATTTTATTTAGTTATTTAGTTAGATAAAACATTTCTTTTTTTACTATTTATTAGCCATTTTCAGGTGATTGCACATTTATAGGTTGTTTTTCAATACAATAATACAATATTTGAGTGATTTTTACTACTTGATTATAGAGCCTATTTATTTGTTTACTTATTTATTTTTAAAAATATTTATTTGTAAATAAATATATCTTTTTATTTTTATTTTTTAAATACATTTTTATTTTAGAATTGATGCTAGACTCTATATTGGTATACTTTTCATTTGTTGACACTGCACCCATATTGTATCTTTCTCTACAGTACCTGAGATTGTACAAGAGACCCAGAATCTGATCGAACAGGGCGAGCTGCTTCAAGCTCACCGCAAGCTGATGGACCTGGAGTGCTCCCGCGACGACCTCATGTACGAGCAGTACCGCATGGACAGCAAGAACGTCCATGACATGAACCTCATTCGTGGCTACTTCGGCCAGGTGCAGGGCCTGTCGGAGGAACTGTCCAAACAACTCTGGATGGTCCTCCAACGTGCCATGGTCACTGTCCGCCGCGACCCCACCATGCTGGTGTCTGTGGTTCGAATCATCGAGCGCGAAGAGAAGATCGACCGCAGGATGCTGGATCGCAAGAAGCAGACTGGCTTCATCCCGCCTGGGAGGCCCAAGTGCTGGAAAAAACGCATGAATGAAGTCCTAGAGGGCACCGTGAGCGGTCGCATCGAGAGCACGCAGTCAGAAACACGCGAGTCTGACAAAATGTGGTTGGTGAGGTTGCTGGAGATCATGAGGAAGTACGTACTGGACGACCTGATCATAGTGAAGAACATGATGGTGCAGTGCTTCCCTCCTCACTACAACACCTTCCAGGTGTTCTTCGACCTCTATCATAAGTCGGTGTCGGCGCGGGTGCAGGAGCTCGCAGCAGAGGATCTAGAAGCCAATGAGATCGTGTCTCTTCTCACATGGGTCCTCAACACGTATAAAAGGTAAGATACAAGTGGACTGCCTTTATCATAGTACATTTGACTGCTCTGGAGTGACCGCAATGATTGTGAAAACTGAATAATTATGATATTTTAATGGCACATTTGGTGCTAACTTGCAGTATAGTTCCTTTGTACCTTTGTAACAATACAAAGCGTGTTAAAAATCGGCAGTGTTGGTATTATATGTAAATGTACAATGTTTACTCTTTCTCAGTGTTACCAGGACTGAGAAATTACTGTTTATTTGTCAGCTAAAGTCCGCTGGATGACGCAAAACGCTCCGGGGCTTTCGTGAAAACTACAGATTGTACTTTCGCATTTTTGAATCCCCGCCCACAGACAGTCGGATTGACAGAGGGTTATTAACAGAACAGTTGTAAGAGTAGGTTTATCACTGAAAATGTAATTGTCCTATGTCTACTCTTTAAAAAGCATTATGGTAAAAATGGAACACTATGGCAACAGCTTTATCACCTGTACATTACGACATTTTGCTTGGGTGGAACTGATGGAAACTTTTTGCCTCTGTTTGGCCTAAAACACTGTGTTCGTGGTCATCCAGTTTGAAATGTTGACTACAAACATGGAGGATCTTCAGATTTTCACACAGCGTTCTCTCTGTATTAACGATGCTGTGCAGCCTTTAGCCTCAGCCTACAACACACTGGATCCTTCACTGGAAAAAACGAAAGTTACTCACTAGCGCTAAACGTTTACTCTTTGAATTCCTGCTCCTGGGTACAATACAAGTTGACACCATTGTGACTAAAAGTTTACTATGCAGTATTTCCTACTAAAGTAAGGTGGTATTTGACTCTGGTCAAGATATAGCAGACTGGGAGTGGCCTTGGCATTATGGGTGTCAAAGTTTTACTAACTATTTGGAAAAAGGAAAGACAACAGCCTTTATTTCTCTGTTTCCTTTAGTCAGGTAGCACCGATTTCAACAAAATTCTTTGCCTTTCTACTGTAAAGGCAGCTTTAATGAAAGTAATGAAAGCCCATTTGCCAGCAGTGAAGTACCCCTTTAAAGTTCAGTCCGGACACTGTATTATGGCAGTGATGGATTAAACAAGTTAAACATGTTTTTTTTTTTTGTGTTATACTTTGAATATCGTTGTTGCAAATTGAGGCTTTGTGCTTCAATTTACAGGATCAAAATGATAAGTTATTTGTAGGGTTTTACCAATCGGTCTGTTATTTGGCAGAGATGGGTGATTAAAAATGCTTTCTGTTGCATTATTTACAAAATAATAATAAAAATACTGCTAATAATAACTATTATTATAATTATATATAATCTTATTTTATTATTATGTTTCTAAGATAGATTTTTCTGTTGATACTAGTTATATTACAGGTGCAACTCGAAAAATTAGAATATCGTGCAAAAGTTTATTTCAGTAATTCAACTTAAAAGGTGAACCTAATATATTATATAGACTCATTACATGCTAAGTGAGATATTTCAAACCTTTATTTGTTATAATTTTGATGATTATGGCTTACAGCTTATCTCATTTAGCATGTAATGAGTCTATATAATATATTAGTTTCACCTTTTAAGTTGAATTACTGAAATAAATGAACTTTTGCACGATATTCTAATTTTTCGAGTTGCACCGGTATATATTATAATAATGTGAATTTATAGCTGTATTATTTCCAGCGGTTATTGCAAATAGTAAACAGAGTAGATTTTCCTCGTAAAGAAAACATTTGCTTGATGGAAAACTACCCTCTGTGATGTTTAGTAGTTCCTTGTCTAACTCAGCATTGCATTTTTCAGTGGCAGATCAGTCTGTCAAAGTGCAGCAGAGAGCAATTAGCTCAATATTTAAAGCAGAACGGAGAGCAGCAGCACAGCTTTGAGTGCTTAATCTGACTGACGGACTGAAAACAGACCATCACATCGTGTGTGCTCACAGGACTGGAGTCAGAGGAAGATTAATACACTGATGTGCACCAGAGTAAATACACCAGAGCAGGAGAGAGAGACAGGCAGGCTGTTCTGCCTTTGGTGCTGTTTCACATGCTGAAGGACTGTGGTAGGACAAGTTGGGATGCATTATATGGACTAGGCATTACATTTTTTATTTATTTGCATATCCTACATAAGTTTTATTTTATATTTACAGTGCTTAGCATAAATGAACACACCCATGCTAAAGTACTGTAATGCCCCATGTAAAATACAGGGTGCATAAGTTAGGACACCCCTATGTTAAATTCCCATAGAGGCAGGCAGATTTTGATTTTTATAGGCCAGTTATTTCAAAGGCCAAGGGTACTTTATCAGCATGCATACTAGTATCCTGGATCCATGAAATAACTGGCCTTTAAAAATAAAAATCTGCCTGCCTCTATGGGAATTTAACATAGGGGTGTCCTGACTTATGCCCCCTGTATTTTAAGGAAGAACATTTATTTATTTACGATACATTAATCATTCACAAACAAAACTGGTGTCCTTAAAGGTTGGATTTTTCCAAAAAAATTTTAAATTAAGGCATTAAGATCAATTTCCAAAAGATGATTTTTTATTCCTCTTTTTAGTCAACTTTAGCATGGGTGTGTTCACTTATGCTAAGCACTGTATACTATTATATTTATATACTAGTATTTATCAAAATTTTGTATTAGCTTTAACTGTTATATTTTTATTTTCATTTATTTCTTTAAGTAATTTTGTTTTGGCCTTTTGTTATTTCTATTAGGTTTTTTATATATATGATCCGTACCAGGCTGCATGTGATTTGCGGATTAATTGCAAAGTTTATCTTTTGCATGTGTTTTGTCTTGCCAATTTACACATTCGAGCAATTTTAAACCGTTCCAGTGCAAGAAGAGGCGAAAAGAGAACTCAATTTCAGATAGCGTGCGTAAACCAAATTGAGTAAAGCCATTTCTCTGACATTAACAAAGAGTGTAATTCATGCGCATTTGTGTGTCTGATTCTGTCTTTGGCAGTGTGGATATGATGGGGGATCCTGATCTGCAGCCCGAGTGTGACGTCAAGAAGTTGGAGCCGCTGTTGCCTGATAAAGTGGTGGATGATTTGCTGGGCAAATACCTCAAGACGTTCACTGTGAGTTCCTCAAGTCTGCAGCACTGGCTTAAAAATTCAAATATTATCAGCCTTTAATTTTAGTGTTTGGTCTTTTGAAATATTGTCGGTGCTGGGAAGTACCGTAATTCCTCAAATAAAGACCAGTATTCAAATAAACGCTGGGCCTCTGATAGTGGCCGGGGGCGTGGTCAACGCGGACAAATAAAGGCCGGTCTCAAATTAAGGCCGGGGAAAAATAGTGTGAATAGGTACACTTTAAATGAGTGTACACTCAAAGACGGACGCGCTCAGCGCTTGTCATATATCACAACTATTCAGTGTTTTTAACCACATGTTTATTTTAGGTTTCAGACATTTAAATAGATATGATTTATAGCAAAACAATAAATTTATAGTTTGTAAAATACACAATGGTGTCTATGGAAGCAGCAATAACAATCCATTCAAATATATTTGGCGACGTGTTTTATTCATATCAGACACAGTGTAAGTAACTATAAAGTTTACTCTATTCTTCTCCCAGTTCACCGGCCACTTACTTTCATGTATTTCGGGAGAAACTGAAGAATTCACGCGCTGTAACTTAACAAATAACAGTTACAACAGGAATCTCCGAACTGCGGTGCCCATCTCACGTTACAGATCAAGATAATTTATAAAGGGCTTTAAACGACAAAACAAACTCACTTACACGGATTTGAGAGTCAGAATAGAAGATAGTTGATGACATGGTAAGCAAGTTTGTTAATATTTAGAAATAAAAGCGCTACATCTGTCATACAGCGCTATTTTGGCTGTGGTGAACACGTGCCAAGCATGACGCGTCACCATGGAAACTTGGCTGGCGGGCGGGCGGGGATCGCGAATTAGAAATAAAGGCCTGCCTCTAATAAAAGCCTGCTTCAAATAAAAGCCGGCTACCATCTGCAGTTCAGGTAAATAAAGGCCCCGGCCTTTATTTGAGGAATTACGGTAATTTTATTAAATGTAATCTGATTCCAAAAATGATGTACATGTAAAAGATTATCTTATTCAAATGTATGTGATAAACAAGTTAAGGATAAAAGTCAAAAGTAATCTAAAAGTAATTGATTAAGTTACTAACTATAGTTTTCTTGTAATTTGTATTCATTAATGGACTACTATTTGTGAGTAATCTACCCAGCACTGAATATTGTGCGTGCACGTGCATTGTCAGTTCAGTAAGTCTTTATTTTTTCCCATTTCTTTAGTCAAACATCACAGGCTGGCTGCGCAAAGCTCTGGAAACGGATAAGAAAGACTGGCAGAAGGAGACAGAGCCTGAGGGCGACCAGAACGGCTACTACCAGACCACCTTACCTGCTATTGTCTTCCAGGTACAACAACTTCTATCTGGCCTCATGCTTTCATGCACCCACTCGCATCAGGTCTAGACATGTGCCGGTATTCGGTAATGCGATAAATCGCGGTAATGAATATGCACGATATTGTTATCGCGGGGACTTCGAAATACCGTGAAAAATAATAGATCCGAATTTAGATTTTTAGAACGCGCATCAGCTTATTTTCCATCAACCGCTTAAAAAACAATGCGTATGCTGCGCAAAACACGTGCGCACTTTGATGTAAACAATCCCCACATCACATGTATAAGCACTGTGTGCATGCAGTGCGCACTCTAGTCTAATGTAAACAATCCTCACGTGGAGAAGAAGCACGGCGGAAGGAGGAACGCTGCCGACTATTTATCCCCCGCATGGCTGCCAACTCTCACGCATTCAGCTTGAGACTCACGCAATTGACACTTTCACACGTTCTCGCGCCACACATCCATTTTCTCACGCAGAGAAAAATCGCGGAGCAAAGAGGACACTGACACCGACAGACTAGACAGAGCAGGTTACTTTTGATATGAAAAAAACATCAGCTCTCAGGTTCTGTCCATTTTATAACGAAATTCAGACAATAAATACTGTTTTGCTGCTTGTAAATGTGACGTGACAGATCGCGCGCCTCAGTTCAAGTAAACCGATCATCTGTTACTTTTTATTAAAGAGACAGTACAACCCACCAAAAGGTACGTACTTTCGATCATTCAGTGTTTTTCAACCACGGAAAGAGGTCAATAAAACTGCAGGAGAACAATTATGTCACAGAACGTTACATTTACCTCAGGAAAGCCATTTAATGTTAGTTGACTATAAGAAAATAGCTATAGAGAGGAGTATTTTGCTAAATATGTGCACTATATTACATATTTTAATATATGTTTACTTGTCATTATATAATTGTTATTATAATGAAAATTACGGCATATTACATTTTTATATTTATATTATTATTATATTTATATTGTATGCATTATATTTAATTTCTCTCTGTATGTTTACAGCATTATGTGAGATATTTTTTCTTGAGAAAAATTTAAATGCAGGCTATCTACTGTAGCCTACCTAATATTTATCCAAATGAGTCAATATTGAATCAAGATTGAAATTAAATCCAAGAATTTAATTGAAATCGTGAAAATTGTGTTAAGCAATAATACAAACAGTAGCCTCAGTAACTGTACCATGTAAACATTGTAACATGTTGTCACTAAAAAATAAAATTAATGTTTTGACAATCACAATTACACATTGTGATGCAAGTTTTTTTTAGATACCCCCAATCCATCTGTTTCTCTTGTGCAATTAAAATATCGTGATAATACCATATACCGTGATAAAAGCTCAATCAATTAATCGCAGCATGAAAATTTGATACCGGCACATGCCTAATCAGGTCTTTTCATTCAAATGTCCCTCTTTATCCTCAGATGTTTGAGCAGAATCTCCAGGTGGCCGCTCAGATCAACGAGACCTTTAAAGAGCAGGTGCTGAAAGTCTGTCTGAAGCAGATGAACTCATTCCTAGTAAGGTATCGCGATCTCAAACTACCCATTTTCTTTAGTTTTTTCCCACCGTTTGTTATTATTGTGTTAGCTGAGTAACAGGCACACTTTCACCCTTCGTACATGTGTATTCAGGTACCGAGAGGAGGCGATCGCCTATAAGGAGGAACATCTGAAAGATCGTCAGCTTCCGCAGTGCTACGTTCAGTACATGATTGCCATCATCAACAACTGTCAAACCTTCAAGTGAGTGTGTCTTAATCATTTATCGATTTCTTTTTTTTTTTAAGTAACAGATTACATTATTCCATTCTCCCAATTCAGACCCAACTGGGCCTTAAGAAGTGTTAAATTCAGTTTGATCAAATTAAATTTAAGGTCAAAAAAGTCTTAAATGTGGTATTTTAAATGGTATAACAAAAGGTTTAATTATCGTTTTATGATGACTTAATTTGAGGACGTAAAAAAAAAATTACAATACAGCCTAATGTGACTCTTAAACTGTAAAATGTGATGATTTAATGCAATAAATGCGAACGATGTACGTTTCATTGTCAAAATGCGGCACTTCTGCACGTTCTACATGCTTCGTGGTTTTAGAGAAGTTCGCAATCGATGAATAGTGAAAATAATGCATTGTTTTTGCTTATTATGGGGCTGTTGAATGCTTGAATCTGATTGGTTGATGAGCGTTAGTTGTGCAACTGTTAGGGAAATGCATGGCTAAAGTAGTTCCAGGCAGGTCTCGAGTAATTTCAAAGGTTTCTTTTTGTATGGAAACCACACACTGTCTTTCTCCCACACAAACAAACACACACACACACACACACACAATACAGTATGGACACACACTTGCACAGAAACGTGTTGTCAGCGCTGCTCTGATGATTTTATCAGTAAAAATGTTTAGCAACTTAAAAGCTACATGACATCTCTCACTAGCGAGGTAATAACGCCGCTGTTATTGAAGCAGATACACTTACAGTTTCGCTATTAGTAGAGACGCTGCTGTCGAACACTGTTGAGAGACGCACAGACTCATTATTTTCTAATAATTCAACGGCCCATCGTCATTTATCCCTCACATATTCTTATCGTCTATAATAGACTGCTAATGAACCAAGCTAATGTTTTAATTAATTTCAATGTTTGTTTTCAGGGAGTCTATAAATAGCCTGAAAAGGAAGTACTCTCAGTCGTCTGAAAGCACTCAGAACGACGCCGCCATAGATAAGCTCCTGAATGATGTGGCCAAAGAGGGCTGCCAGTTCCTGCTAGATGAAGTCTTCCTGGATTTGGAGGTAAATGCGCTCTTGTCGTGTACGGTCAGTTGTTAAGGTTTAGTGACTGGGATAAACATGCTAAATTTCGACTGTTTCTTGCTCTCTCGACAGCATCATCTTAATGAACTGTTGACCCGAAAGTGGTTGGCAGGCTCTCATGCTGTAGACACCATCTGTGTGACAGTGGAAGACTACTTCAACGACTTTTCCAAAATTAAAAAGCCGTATAATCAGGTTTGCCCACTAAAACCTTTCAGAATAAGTGTCTTCTTATAGTAGTTTTATTTGTCATAATGCTGATAAGATCAAAGAACTGTTCCGTACAATCATGTATCTCTATCCTTTAAAAGTTTGAGGATTATTTTTTTATGTTTTTGAAAGATGTCTCATGCTCACCAAGGCTGCATTTGTTTGATGAAAAATACAGGTAGTGTGAAATATTATTAGGATTTAAACTAACTATTTTCGATTTTCCAGCATCATTACTCCAGTCTTCAGTGTCACATGATCCTTCAGAAATCATTCCAATATGCTGATTTGGTGCTTAAGAAACATTTCTGATTATTATCAAACAGTTGTGCTGCTTAATTTTTTTGTGGAACCCACAATACCTTTTTTTTAGGATTCTTTGATGAATAGAAGGTTACAAAAAACAACAAAAAAGTTCACTTTGAAATTAATTTTCGGTATGTTTTAGCTTACCTCAAGGGCATCCAAGATGTAGGTGTCTTTGTTTCCGCAGTAGTTTCAATTTTGATATTTTTAGGTCAAACCGTTCTCGTCTGTCAGTCATATAATGCAGGTCTATGGTCACCACCTCAAAGAGCATGCACAGAGAAGTCCAAATTAAACATGATTTAATGACTCGTAAATGTAAGTACACATTGATGGCCTAAGACACGAAACGAGCAGTTTGTGTGAGAAAACGAACAGTATTTATATCGTTTTTACCTCTTGTAAACACAGCCACGTCCAAGTGATCTGAGGGCGCGGGCGCTTCGGTCTGCGCAAGCGCCGGAAAGCGCCGGAAGTTATCTCTTGCGCAGTTGCGAAAAAAATTCAACGTTGTATGTTGATATATCGAAATCGTCTTCCATTGTGATTTCCTGTATATCTAAATATGTTTAGATCTTCACAGTGAAAGGTAACACTTCCGAAATCTCTGTGTAAACAATGAGTGACGTACACGCGCGAGAGATCGAAGAGACCGAAGCGCCCGCGCCCTCAGATCACTTGGGCGTGGCTGTGGTTACAAGAGGTAAAAACGATATAAATACTGTTCGTTTTCTTGAATGCCCTTGAGGTAAGCTAAGGCCCTGTCCACACGGACACGGGTATTTTTATAACCGTGACTTTTTTTACGCGGTTCGGCCGTTCGTCCACACGAAAACGCACTGAAACCGAACATTTTTGAAAACCCCTGCCAGGGTGAGGATTTTCAGAAACGTCGGTTACAGTGTTGTCGTGTAGACAGTGAAACCGGGGTTTTTGCCTTGCGACGTCAGAGTGTGCGCCGTTATCAGCTGTGTTTGACATCAGATTTGCGCTTCTGATTGGCCAACGTGGCTTTAGGGTTAAGGTTTATATCACCGCCTGGTGGCGTGACATGCTCTTGACCGCGCTTGATTGCGTGTTTTTACGTTTTCATGTAGACGGAGACCGAGCATGTGTGGACGGGATTTTTTTTAAAAACGCTGTAGAAAAAACTCCGGTTATAAAAATACCCGTGTCCGTGTGGACATGGCCTAAAACATACCAAAAATTAATTTCAAAGTGAACTATCCCTTTAACTGTCACTTTTGATCAATTTAATGCATCCTCGCTGAACAAAAGTATTAATTTCTGTTAAAAAGAAACGTACTAATGCTAAACTTTTGCACAGTATATATAGTAATAACAAGTAATATATATAGTAATTATAGTAATAATAACACATGCGTGTGTTAAACAGGAAATGACGAGTGAGGCTCATCGGCGGGTGGTGGTGGAGTATTTGAAAGCCATCATGCAGAAGCGCATCTCGTTTAAGAATGCCGACGAAAGAAAGGAGGGAGCGGACCGGATGATGAAAGAAGCGGAGCAGTTCAAATTCCTCTTCAGGAAACTTTCTGCTGTGAGTCTCACAAAAAATCCAAGAAGTGAATCAGTGGTTGTAATGTATTACAAAGCGTTCTGGCAGTTTTTGCATCACAGTCAGTGGCGGGTCCTGGCAGTGGCATTATAGTGCGCACGCAACTTTCAGACATGACTTTCTTCTCTTCTTTATAGTTCATTTCAGGCAGTTTATATGGCGTTATTTTGCATGACAAATTTCGAGAGCGCATCCATGTAATAATGCGCAAGCGCAAAGCTCTCCGCTCAGAGGCAGATTTGGTTAGATTTAGCTTTCGCTCAAAACAGGACACCCACTTTCATATACCGTGTTCACTTATGAATTGGCTCTGCTCTCCCTCAGATTTGTGTGTCTGTGTGTGCTCTTGCTCTAGAAATCTGTTGTTTCCTAGAAAATGTTGGCAAAAGTTATCAGAATAAACTCCCATGATTGACCACTTAAAGGATTAGTTCACTTTTAAAAAAACTTTTGCTGATAATTTACTCACCCCCATGTCATCCAAGATGTCCATGTCTTTCTTTCTTCAGTCGAAAAGAAATTAAGGTTTTTGATGAAAACATTTCAGGATTTTTCTCCATATAATGCACTTTGCTGGGCACCAAACGGTTCAAGGTCCAAAAGACAGTTTCAGTGCAAACTGTTCAAAGGGCTTTAAACGATTCCAGACGATGAATAATGGTCTTATCAAGCGAAGCGATCGGCCATTTCAAAAATAAATAACAAAGTTTAAGTTTAATAATGTCAAATGCTTGCCTTGCTCTGTTCTGTGTGACTCTCCTGTTCGAACTCGTTCATCAAAATGAACGAATCTTTTTCCGAGTCAATTCGTTCATTTTGTTCGTTAAATGAACCAAATGACTCGAAAAAAGATTTGTTCATTTGGATGAACGAGTTCGAACAGGAGAGTCACGAACATACATCACAGAACAGAGCAAGGCGAGCATTTGACATTATTAAACTTAAACTTTGTTATTTATTTTTGAAATGGCCGATCGTTTCGCTTGATAAGAGCATTATTCATCGTCTGGAATCGTTTAAAGCCATTTGAACAGTTTGCAGTTTGCACTGAAACTGTCTTTTGGACCTTGAACCGTTTGGTCCCCAGCAAAGTGCATTATATGGAGAAAAATCCTGAAATGTTTTCATCAAAAACCTTAATTTCTTTTCGACTGAAGAAAGAAAGACATGGACATCTTGGATGACATGGGGGTGAGTAAATTATCAGCAAAAGTTTTTTTTAAAGTGATCTAATCCTTTAAATAACCTAGTGTACCTTTAAATTGTAAAGAAATTAAGGATCCATCTTTGTATGTCAAATAGTTGGTTCCACCTGACCAAGTGTCGAGGTGTCCATGAGCAAGACACCTAACCCCAGCTGCTCCCGACGAGCTCGATGGCGCCTTGCATGGCTGCCGTCGCCCGTCGGTGTATGAATGAGTGAGTGAATGGGTGAATGTGAGGCAAATTGTAAAGCGCTTTGGTGGCCATTGGGTCTGTGAAAGCGCTATATAAATGCAGTCCATTTACCATTTACCATAGTTCCATCTAGCCTACACATTTCGATAGGATTTTCAAGCTGATTTTAGTCAGCAAGTTCTCTTGTTGACAATGTGTTATATCTTTTCTAACTGATCCGACTTACGATTTTCATGAAACGTTGCGATACGCGGAGCCATGAATATGCTAATTAGCCCCGCCTCCACTCACTCACTCACACCAGCTCAGAGAGAGACTCACTCTGCCAACTTACTGAGATAAACACTGCACAATAGTATCGCTCTCTACAACGTCAGACACATAACGGTAATTAATATGATTAGCTTTTTGCTTGACACATTATCAAACAGCGTTGCTAATGTTACACAAATATGTTCCCGCTTTCACCATCTCAGAGTCAGACACCTGCCTTCAAACAATCATCAGAAACACTTTGAACAACTCAGAACGTCAGTGGAGAAAGGCATATAGTTCATCATAACATCGTAATATACATCATACACCCGCTATATTGCTAAATCTACCCGATTTTTCATATCAACAGAAACATATACTGGGATAACCTGGCTTCTCTTGAGACTCCCCTGATAGTTCAGTGTTAATGATATGTAAAGCCTGCCGGCACGTTGACGTGATTGGCTACAAGGTAGTGTGTGACATCAGAAACACCAGCGATTTCAAACCACGTTTTTGAGACTGTCTTTTGTTCACTGCAGTTATAAAGACAAAAATAGTACTCAGGAATGGTGTTGACTGATGAATTTGCACATGGTTTGTCTTAAAGCATATTAAAAACACCACATAGACATAGACTTATAAACAACATTGAAAACTTTCACCACAGCACCAAATAAACCAGAACTGCTACTGATGTAAGGAATAATTGACTCCGGGCCGTTGAATTATTAGAAAAATAATGCACACCCGAGGTGGTAATGCGGTCACGACGCGAAGCGGAGTGGCCGTTACACCTCGGGTGTGCATTATTTTTCTAATAATTCAACGGCCCGGAGTCAATTATTCCGCTTATACTACAGTTACCACACCTCGAAACATTGTTCAGATGATGTAATTCTAGACGTTTGTCAAGTTTTTGTCATTAAAACGCTCTTGTATGAAGGACTAATTTCTTACGCATCTAATCCCATGCCTCCGTTGCTAATTCCAAAACGTAATTTTAGAGTTAGTAACGGAGGTCTGAGCCACAGACAGCAGACTAATGATGGGGACACACTTACGACTTGCTGAAACATCCGAAGACTGACTGTTTCCATCGACTGCAGCAGGTTCAGGTTCAAACACCGACTGTGAACACACACTGAACGCGCTGAACGCGCGTTTGGGCATGATCAGTCATAAGCAGGCCCGCCGACAGGGGGGGACAAACGGGTCTGCTGTCCCGGGCCCAGGGTAGGGAGGGGGGCCTAGAACTGGGCCCTCATTAAATTATGGAATAATTGTTAAAAAAATAAATAAAATAGGCATATTTGTTGAAAAATATCAAATATTTGAGTTACATAAAAGCTTTTTATTCGTTTTCTTCCTAATTGTCCTTGAAATAGTGGTCAAGAACCCCCCCCCCCCCCCCCCCCCCAAAACAAAAATGGTTTGGCCACTGATCGAAATATGATGTTGTCATTTGATTTGAAGTTCAGTAGGCTAACGTTACGCTCAAAATGTCCGGTCAGCACAAGTCCGGTGCTCAGAAAAGAAAAGAGAAGAAGAAAATAGAGGCCTTCGAGATGCCCTAAACAAATATTTTTAAAATGGTGGTGACGGTGAAGCTGGAACTAACGTTAGTAAAGTCAACGTAGAGCAAGGTAAGAAACAGCGCAGCCAACGTTTATGAGTGTTGTCAAAGACCCGGCACTTCGGTACCAAGTCGGTAACGTTACAAATTTCTTTTTAAACGTCACGCCACGGTACCAGGTTTTCTCAAACCCGGGAGGCGCGTGCATGCCCAAAGCGCGTTTAGTTGCGTCCTCTTCATAAAAGCGCTGAGACATGGCGACCGGCGGTGCTGCTGCTGTGGTGGCTGTAAATCCACTTGTTGATAAGAAAGGAGGAAAGAGCCACATATGGAAATATTTTGGATATTAGCTCATAATAGCGACGCGGCGCGCTCGTTTTTACAGGCGCGCCTAAGTTCATTGTTGCATAGCAACGACAGACGCCACGGGAGAGCAAACGCTTGTGGAAAGGAGAAAGCGGTGCGAACTGCGCTCTCCATGATGACGAGGAAGTATTAGCAAAGAATTCATTGATTTCTAGCCCTTGGATTAGCTTTACTACTATTTATGGAGATGAGAAATAAAAAGCCGGCTGAAATGCATCACTGTCATCATCGGTGAACAGATAATGGGGCAGATCCGAGTCTATTTTTGCTGTGCTGCTCATGCTTAAAAGTGAAAGCACACTTTTGATGGACAAAAAATAAATATGATTTCACACAAAAAGTGCCCAAAATGCACAGATTTTGCATGTCTAGTGTGTTTTAACAAGAACTGCAGTAGGCTATGTCAGAAAAGAAAATGAAGACATTTATAGAAAATGTACCCATTTAAACGTGTTTTTATTATTCATTTTGGGTAAAAGTATATGGTGTTTTATAAAAATAAAAAAAATCGTGGGGGGGCCCCATCTAAGATTATCTTGTCCCGGGCCCAGACAAGACTGTCAGCTGGCCTGGTCATAAGTATCAAATTACATTCATAACCGGCCTTACAATAAGTGTGTCCCCGCTTTATGTGGCCTAGTTATTAATGCAGTTATTAGAGATAGAGAGATGTTGCAAATAATAAGACAGAAAAGCATGTGCGTCAATATTATTATTTATTTATTAATTCAATTCGTTTTAATTCGTTCATTCTTTTTTTTTTCTATTATTGACAGTAGACTAGCCTAATAAAATAAACACTAAGCCCTTTTAATAAGTAGGCCTATCAATAATTATTTATTTGTAAATTATCTGGAATAATTACGAAAACCCATGCAGCAGCAGGACTATCAATTTATTTATATATTCAGTTTAATTTTCTATTGATTATAGATAGGACTATATACTTTTTTTTTATTCAAATTAAACTGCATGTGTCCATTGATTGTGAAGTTAGACATCGAAAATGGCAGATCAAGCGCATGGGCTGCATGTTTTTTCTTGTTATGAATTGTATCCTATTTTCCGTTATGACAGTTAACTATGCGCAGTGATATGGAACTGTAATGCGGTCAAACCTGCCTGGAACTACTTTAGCCGTGCGTTTCCCTGAAAATAATTGCACACCTTAGAACGTTCTCAACCAATCAGAATCAAGCATTCAACAGCCCTGTAGTATAACACAGTAACAACATGTAACGTCATCAGCAGCTTTTTAAACAGCTTGTTTTGAAGCATTTTTGTGTGTGTTCAGGGAGAGGACTCAGACCGGCTGTGTGACTCCATCAGTGCCATCGCTGAGGTCTTCAAACTGACCGACCCTGCGCTGCTCTACCTGGAGGTGTCCACCCTGGTGTCCAAATATCCCGACATCAGGTCAGGCTTCATTACAGTCAAAACACATGCTTTTTTGTTCTTGTACAGAGATTCACATAAACTCTGAAAAGATCTTGTGTTGGTCATATTTCACCCCAAAATTACTAGGAAACTTATTTTTTAATTGTATTTTATTTCATTTGAATTACGCTAGCCTGTTTTAAGGGCCATTAAGATTTTTAGCAATTGGATGATATTTCTGTGATAATTATCAATCATTACCAATTATCAAAACTACCATTTATTACTATATTGTAAAATAAATGCCATTTACATTACAGCAATAAACAAATACAGAAATGAGAATGACTTTTTGTGTAAATAATTTATACATCATGGTACTATTTGTTGTACTGCCTTTAATTATGATAATTTAATTAAAAAAATGTACATTACTGCATTAGAGTAATAGTAATAAACTTAAAAAAAATGATGAAAATTCAGACACATTGCGGTAATTAGTAATTGGAGGGAAAATGGACTTAAATTGTCATGAAAATGTCTGTAAAAAAAAAAAATGATAATGGCCATTTTCTTTAAGCAAAATATAGTTTCTCATTTCTTTCTTTTGATTTTAGCTCAACTAGGTAACTTTTTATCTATCATTACTAGTGACTTGAATGGAGCATTACATTTAAACATAAGGTCTTCATCTGTCTCTTCGTCTTTCATCAGAGAGGAACACATTGTGGCCCTGTTAGCTGTCCGCGGTGATGCCAGTCGAGAAATGAGACAGATGATCATAGAGACTCTGAACCAGAACAAACCGTCCTCTTCCTCTGTGTCTCAGCCCGTCTTCAGAGACATCACCGTGCCAACCAGCACCATGACCGCCATGACCTCTATGACTGTACCGAAACTGCTGAAATAACCTGACCTTTGACCCCTGGAGACTAAGAGATCCCCTTAATGCACTTTGGAAATATATTCACTGCAATGTCAGTGACGGCTTTGATGATTTACGATGACTTGATGTACAGAAACATTTTCAGGATTCCAGGTCTGTAACAAACCACTGAATTCATCACGTCAGTTTGCATTTCAATAAAATCTGGATAATCACTAAGTAATCCACACTGAATGATGTATGATGTTGGATTAGAGCACAGGTCATCTGTTTATACACACACACATGCCCTGGATCTGGCAGTTTATGAGGAACAGGCAGCTTGCGTGACTATTGAAATGTTTAATCACCCCTCTCTTCTCATTGGCTGTGCTCATGGGGGAGGAGCTCTGAGGGGTCCTGAGACTCCAGCAGAGCGCAGGATGACATGTAATGATTCAAATCTTCATGTGACTGATACAATTTTGATTACACCGTGCCATAACTGGGTTTGAATGACTGTTCAGATTGCAGTACTAGCAAACTGCTTCATATTTTATTTTAAGAATGAATGTCACATTATGCAATAAACATTTCAAACCGCCACTTTGCTGTCAAGTATATTTAATAAAATAAAAATGAAATCAGCAAGACTACAATATAGTAAACATCAGTTAATGCATTAACTAACAAGGACTTAGAATATTTTTATAGCATTTATTAACCTTTTTTAATGTTAGTTAATAAACATGTTATTCACAGTACATCGACTGTTAACAGATACATCTTTTGTTCTTAAAGGGACAGTTCACCCAAAAATGAAAATTCAGTCATCATTTACTCAGTCTCAAGTTGTTGTTGCAAACCTTTCTTTCTTCTGCTGAACACAGAGTAAATGATGGCAGAATTTTCATTTGTGGGTGGAGTATCCCTTTAAAAGTAATAGTTCGCCCAACAATTGTCATTTTCTCACCTCAATCACGGTTGGTGTAGTTTCCAGAACTTTTAAGTGAAATAGTAGGCATTTTTTCACATTGTTGTTGTTAAGTGACCTCATCTAATTTTTTTTTGTAAAATGTCAGTATGATCAAACAATTGTTGAGAAATTACAGTTGATATTACCAGTATAATGCATGAGCCAGAAGTAATGAAAAGTAATGCGACCAGTGCTGGGTAGAAGTCAGGTGACTAAAATCACTCGGAAAACTGAGATTTGACCACTGTATTTACAGAAATCATTTTGTTGACTTCTCAACATTGCATATCTAATCAGCTCCAGACGGACACATCCATTTGTTTCTGAAATGAATTGTCTCTCAATGAGTCATTTAACCATGTAGCCTATTACTGTCTTTGGGAGGCTTTTTTCTTTCAAACACATTCACATCATATATTTACATGTTATGCAGAGATTCTCAAACTTTTTTTGCCAGCCGAACTTCTTTGACCTAATATATTTATATTTAATAATAAGTACCCCCTGAGATTATAATTTAATTCATAATAAAGTCATTAACCTAAACACATTTGCAGGTTCTCTTATGTCGGTTAATGGTCACATGACATGCAGGTAAACAAATATATATATATTTTTTAATGATTTACTTTAATTACACTTTTTTATGATTTAATGATCAGCTTTTCGTTAAACTGCACGAACCCCGGTCTGGGAAACCCTGACGTAATGTAATGTTTAATACATGTTGTTGATAAAGAATGGAATGTATTTTCTTTCTCTTTGTGTGTTTATATCAATATGGTGCAAGATTATCCTATTCAAATAAATGTGATAAATGAGTTAGATGAAAAGTAATCTAAAAGTAGTCCGATTACCTAAGATGTGTTATAACTAAAAATGTTCTCATGTAATTTGGAATCAGTAACCGACTACAATTTGTAAGTAATCTACCCACAATGCATGATGCAACACTTGACAAGATTTCAAATCAAAATCAACACCACAAAATGTTTGTTTTTTTTATATTTATTGCTAATATTTCTTGACAGAAATGATCAATTTTGCCAAAAAATGCAAACGTGATCAGATTAATTTGACCTCTCAGTACAGATTAATCAACATTTACATATGAAATACAGTAAACGTAAACTCGGAGGCAGATATCAAACCTCATCCATACAGTACAGCTTCATAAATCTATAAAAAGTGTAACGAATACAGTCGACATGGTTTGAACCTCGAGTAGTTAACTCCCTTTCGAGTCTATTTACAGATTAGTAACAATTTACCAAACCAAATGAAAGCACATTTAAAAACCTGCAACACTGTTGTGGAAAGCCACTCGTCTACTCCACCGCATGTTACTAACCATAAATGTGCTAAAAACTCCTGGACAAGCATTAAAGGTCTTGAGCCCTTCAGCAAAATCTCATGAAAATATCAAAATAAAATCCTTTAATGTATTTTTCTCAATACAAACATGCCAAATCTCCTTATATATATATATATATATTTGTATATATTTATAAAAAAAAAAAAGTTAGGGCTGCTTTGGCAAAACTGCAATATGATTTCAGAATTTTAAATATGTACTATAAACACAAAGAATTAAGACTTGAAATTATTTCCAACACACTTCCAGCTGCTTGCACGGCAATAGGCACACATGTTCGCCTTTTGGTTCTTTTGACAATTCGCAGAAAAATGTTTTCAACACACAAGCGAGATATTATGGATGCTCAAAGCTGTCCCGCATTAACAATAACTTTTCTTTCTTTGTTAGAAAGTAACTTGTGTGGAATTACAGTGCTTTAGGCTTAGGATGAACATGGATGAAGAATTTTGTCGGACTCAAAAGTCTTAAAGGGATAGTTCGCCCAAAACTCAATAGTTGTTCCAAACCTGTACGAGGTTCTTTCTTCAGCTGAACACAAAAGATGATATTCTAAAGGATGTTGGTAATCAAACAGTTGATGGTAGCCATTGACTTTCATAGTGGGGAAATAAATACTACGGATGTCAACGGCTACCATCAACTGTCAGGTTACCAACAATCTTCAAAATATCTTTTGTGTTCAACAGAAGAAAGAAACTCGTACAGGTTTGGAACAACTCGAGGGTGAGTAAGTGATGAAAAAAAGAAATGTCATTTTCGGGTGAACTATCCCTTTGAAGAGTCCCCATAACTGAGTAACTATGGCGGCCTCTAGTGGTCAGTGCATTTCAGTGCATTTCAAACACCCGACTCACATTTTTCAGAGAACAACAGTTGTAGTGCATCGCGTTGAGAAGGAGAACAGGGCAAACCAGCAGCGCATAATGTTGTAAGAGCATCATTAGAAGCCCTCAAAAACGTCCTCTCTGCTATCAGAAAGAGGACACGCATATCTTCAACAACAAAACAAGAACTTCCAAAATATTCCTTTGCAGTATTTTTCCTGGTCGTTTTCTCTCGTAGCATGTATAAAAGCCTATAAATATTCACCCGTGTCAGAAAAACTCAAACTAAAAATACTGCACTACAGGACTCAAGTAAGTTTCCTTTTCTCATTAACTTCGCCAGACGCTGCTAATGAGAGCGTAATAGCTTGAATAAAATCCTTCTGACAACAATAAACTATTCTGAACCTGAAACAAAATTCCTCTTACAATCCATCCTATTTAAACTATAACATTAAGATCATTTAATTTCTAAGAGAACTCATTAAGTTTAGCAACTTGTCTTGCCATCAGTCGTTTGCATTGGCTCTTTTTTTTATTTTTTTTTAAGCAAACCTCTTCAGACAAGCTTATACAAACAGAACAAAACTCTATCTAAAGGGTCTCTGGAATCGCTGGCTGGCAGGGCTTTGGTCCCCTGCTTTCTGTCAATCGGTTTTGTCAAGAGCTTCTGAGGTGTTTGGGACAACATACTTCAGCCGGAAACCACCTGAAACATACAGACGTGTATCAGTATGAGCGCTGAAAGCATAAGGCTGGAAACAAATATGTGGACACAAAGCACAGGCCCCGTAAGCAGCACTACTGAGTACTGAAAGTAGCCTGTGCAAATAGTTCGGACTGTGTAGTTCATGCAGTGATACTTAGATTTGATATGACAGACCTATAGGTTCGGATGTTTTGTTAATGGCATTTATTCCGGCAAAATAAAAGGCTCGTGATTAAGAAGATTGAGTGAATGTAGGTAATCGTTCTGGTGGATGGAGGGCCCCTCAAGAGGTAAAGCCCAAGGGTCTTAATGTGGCCCTGGACATCCGTATGTAACTGTCGCCCCCTTGAGGTTTTTTACTGAACAGCAACACAAGAACATTTAAACACACAGAACAGAGCCAGGCACATGCTGCTCCTTTCAAATTGCTCCTGAAAGCGGGCTATTTTTGGCAAAACAAACAAAATGTACATAAAAGCATTCGCTCAGTTTAGTTTTTCCACATAAGGGCTTTTCACACTTGAAATAGTTAACCCTGGGTCATTCTGAACCCCGGGTAAACGGAATCCTGGGTTATTTTGCTTCAAGTTTTAACCCAGGCTAAAAATGTAGTCATAAGCTGACGTTACCTAAACCCTGGTTTAGATTCTTATTTAAATATTTGCCGTGTCATTGACTGGATGAGCGCAGAACGCGACTCATTTACATAAAAGCTCTAGCATTGCGCATATTGCCGACGGTACTATCGAGTTTATACTGAATGGACATTTCAGACTATAAAAAGGTGAGAATGAAATGGTCTCTTCTTCACTCAAATTGTTGTTGTCTGACAGCGTTTCCTCTCAAACGCTAAAATTACAGTTTATATACAATGCGCAGTGTTTTCGTGACTGTCTAAAGCACGCAAATCTGATGCGGTGCTAACTCTGCTCCGGAGAAGGGTTTCATAACCCTGGGTAATAACGGTGCGAACTTCTCTTCTAAATTGCAAATGCGAAACGTTCCTTTACCCGGGATTAAAAGCGGTGTTTAGAGCGACGATAACCTGGGGTTAAGCGCAAGTGTGTGGAAAACCCCAGAACTGCCTTAAATTCTTCGTGGCAGAGATTCAACAAGGTGCCGGAAACATTCCTCAGAGATTCTGGTCCATAGACATGAGAGCATCACACAGTTGCTGCAGATTCGTCGGCTGCTCGTCCATGATGCGATTCTCCCGTTCCACCACGTCCCAGAGCTGCTCTATTGGATTGAGATCTGGAGACTGTGGGGGGCATTTGAGTTTAGTGAACTTATTGTCATGTTCAAGAAACCAGTTCCAGAGGATTTAAGCTTTGTGACATGGCGTGTTATTCT